TAATAATAATAATAATAATGGATTGCATTTACATAGCGCATATCCACTTATTATGCAATGATATTATGCGCTTAATAAAAAGCTCTATGAGCTTCATAATCTATACTATTACCCCAGAAAACCTAGGGCCATTCTGAAACAACCTCAACTTTCCTACGAAGCATACAGCGCAAGCGGCCATTTATAGGCGCTTAAACACTAACATACTGACAAGATCTTTCGCTGTTTCTGACCCATTCCCACCTGTGTGAAGTGAGGAAAATTCGTGTAAAGTGCCTTTCCCAAGAACACAGCGTCGGGCCCGCGGCTCGAACCCCCGAACCCGCACCCCCACGATTACGAGTCCGGTAGCCTAACCACTAGGCCACCGACGTCACGCTTGAGAAACTGAATATTTACATATTTTGTGCCTTTAATAAACGTTTTACAGAAAAATGCGCACATACATTGGTTTTTAAATGGACATAAAAAGTGTTGAGTAGGTAGGAAATTTTGAATTTTTCCCAGGTGGCAAACGAAGCCTACTCTTGTCGATTTTAGACCACCAAGGGATCTTTAACGTGCGCAACTTGCACACGGGCCCTCCGAGATTTTTCGCCCTTGTTCGAGAAGGCTCGGTGTAGATCTTTCCTACCAGAAGATCAGGGGTGTGGCTGAAAGACAGCAGTAAGAAGAAGCCAAGGAGTAGCAGTAGAAAGGCTGTAGAAAGAATCAGGAGCCCAGAGTAGGGGGGCAAAGGAGATGAGGGGGTGGGGGCAGAAAGAGGAGACGAATGCAGACGACAGAACATTGTTAGAGAGCAGGAAAGGAGGTGAAAGGAGACAAATTTAGAGAAGAACATTTTTCGGTCACTACCCGGATTCGAACCCGGGACCTTTGAATGAGAGGCCAAGAGAGCCGAAATGGGTTTGGGGAAAGGGGGTTGGAAAAAATGGTGGGTTGGTGGGTGGTTTGATGTTTGGGGAAGGGAGGGCAATAAAGGAGAAATTTATGGAATGGGTTGTTTGGGGAACATAATTGGGAGATGGGTGTGTTGATGTAGGAGAGGGATGAGGGGAGACGGAACCGTGGAGGGGGGGGGGAGGGAGATGGGATATACGGGGTATAGCAACAACAGTCGCTTAGTCGTATAGTCCAAGCAGATAGATCGACTCGGGCCGGGCAGAAAAAGAGTTAAATGTGGTCACTCAAAGCACACAGAGGAGGCGTGAGCCCTTCGTCGCCGTAGCAGTGAAGGGGTTAAAAGAATAACATAATCGTGTCTCAACTCTGGAGCTGCTCGTTATTCCAATGTTCGGAAATCCATTGTTCGGTCAACAATAACGGCAAAATCGCTCGCTGTTCCAATGCCAGATAATCCATTGTTCGGTCAACAAAAGAGGTAAAATCGTTCGCTGTTCCAGTGTCCTCCGAGTGAGTTCGGGCTTTACAAGGCAGTTTTGGATCCCCAAGGACAAACAGTAGCGCTGGATTGAGTGGTCAGTTGCCTATAACCAGACCTAGCTCGTAAATATTGCATACTATCTCTTTCCACACCCACTCAACCACACCCACCCACCGTTTTGTTCTCAAACCCTTACTCGGCCTCCCACCTCTTTGTTTCCCCCTCCCCCACCCCCAACTGTTAAACTATCTGAACCATCTTGTTACAAGTATCTATTATATAATTGGCAACTTGGAAACACATGTGTCACTCTCCCCATAAAACTACGACAGCTACAGAGTTGAAAGTTGGCAAGTGCCTGCAAAAAGACAGATAGGTCCAGAGAGACAGAGGCCGATTTTTGATTCATTCATTTCCTGAATTGAGAAAAATATTTTTGACAAAAAGTTCCTGTCCTTCTTTGGCCTTTGTGATTATTCCACTGTGAAACGAAACAAATCTGCGTAAGTTCAGTACTGCTCTTTAACGTTCGCCTAAGAAACACGATTCAAGAGACGGAGTGAGTAATTTTCTTGACTCACTTATGTGGAGACGTGATCCTGTGTATGCATCCAAAGAGATGTTTTCAATATAGCGCCCAAAGAAAAAAAAACGTTTTTTTTATTACTGGGTGCTCTCTCTCACACACACACACTCACTCACGCACTCACACACACACACACACACAAACTCACACACACATACACATACATACAAACATATACTCTCTCTCTCTCTCACACACACACACACACATACTCACACACATACTCTCACACACACAAACAAATACTCACACACACACATACACATACACACAAACACAAACTCACACACACACATACATACACATACATACTCACACAAACATACATATACACACACAAACACAAACTCACTAACACAAACACATACTCACACACATACACACATACACACACATACTTACACTCACACACACGCATACACATACACACACATACACAAACACACACACATAGACACATACACACACAACGTATCTAAATAATATAGTGTAAACCGCATAGAGCCTGCTGTTGAGCGGGGATATACAAATGTGCTTACTTTCTTTACTTTTTTCTTCCGCTTGTACCGA